GGGGTCTCTCACAGTCAGAACCTTCATAAAGAAGTGAGCACTTGCTGACTTGCTGTAACGTTGTCTCTGTTGATTATTACATTTCTTTCCACATGTGTCCATCTATTCATTATCTATTGCTCCTGTAAGAAATCACTGCAACTTGGAGGCTTAGAACACTGCAAATGTACCATCCCACAGTTTCTGTAGACAACCTATGGCAGGATGTTGGTTTTGGACTCACTCTGAAAATCTCTTTGAATTGGTCTTTGAATCAGTCTTTTGCCATTCAAAGAGATTATTGATATAGTCGGAGTAATATCTACTATGTTTGTTGCTAACTTCTACTTTGTTCCAATTTTTGTCTTCCACTCTTTTACTGCTTTGTGTGGTTTTAATTGAACATTCTATATGATTCCATTTTTTCTCCTTCTTAGCGTATCAGTTACACTTCTTTTTTTACTTTTTTGAGTTGTTGCCCTAGAGTTTGCAATCAACACTGACAACTAATCCCAGTCCACTTTCAAATACCACTATACTACCTCCCAGGTAGTGTGAGCACCTTATATCAACAAAATTACCCCAATTTCTCCCTCCAGTCACTTGTATCATTGATGTCATTCATTCCACTACTATAAAAGCAAAGTAAGCATATATATACACAAATACATAAGATAGGCATACATAATAGAATACATCATTGGTATTACTATTTTGAACACTGTTCTCTGTTCCATAAATTAAGAAAAAAAAAAACTTTTTATTTTACCTTCACTTATTCCTTCTCCCATGCTCTTTCTTCCCTTCTTTAGATCTGAGTTTCTGACCCAGACCATTTTCTTTGTCTCTAAAGAGGTGCTTTTAGGGCCGGGCCGTGGCTTAGCGGTTAAGCGTGCGCGCTCCACTGCTGGCGGCCTGGGTTTGGATCCCTGGTGCACACTGACGCACCGCTTCTCCGGCCATGCTGGGGCCACGTCCCACATACAGCAACTGGAAAGATGTGCAACTGTGACATACAACTATCTATCTACTGGGGCTTTGGGGGAAAAAATAAATAAATTAGGTGCTTTTAATATTTCTTGCAAGGCTGGTGCTGTGGTCTCAATGTTTGTGTCCCCGCAAGATTCATGTTGAAATCCTGACCCCTAAATATGACAGTATTAGGGGGTGGGGCGGTTGGGAGGGGCTCAGGTCACGAGGTTGGAGCCCTCATGAACACGATCAGTGTCTTTATGAAAGGGGTTGGGGAGAGATCCCTAGCTCCTTCCACCACGTCAGGACACAAGAAGGGCTATGAACCAGGAAGAGGGTCCTCACCAGAGAACTCGCCCAGGCTGGCACCTTAACCTTGGACTTCTCAGCCTCCAGAACTGTGAGAAATAAACACTTATTTTTTATAAACTACCCAGTCTGTGGTATTTTGGTATAGCAACTGGAATGGACTAAGGCGGCAGGTTGACTGGCAACAAAACCCCTCACTTTTTGTTTGTCTGACGGAGGCTTTGTCTCCCCTGCACTAATGAAGGGTACTTTCGTCAGGTACAGAATTCTAGGAAGGTGATATTTTCTCTCAAAACTTTAAATATCTCATCCCTCTCTTGTTGCTTGCATGGTTTCTGAGGAGAAGTTGGGTGTAATTCCTATCTTGTTCCTCTACAGGTAAGGTATTTGTCCCCTCTGGCTTCTTTCAGGATTATTTCCTCACTTTGATTTTCTGTAATTTGAAAATGACAAGCTACGTGGAGCTTTCTGGCATTCATCCCGCTGAGTGTTCTCTGCGCTTTCTGCCTCTGTGGTCCGCTGTCTGACGTTCATTTCTCCCTCGACAACACACCGCGGACAACCGAACCGAGCTCGGACTTGAGTCCCGACGGTCACGCGCGCCGCCAGGGGGCGCCCGAGCGGCTCCGAGCGTCTCCTGGCCGCGGGGCGGAGGGCAGGGCGCTGCCGGGGGCGGGAGCTGAGCCGGGAGCGCCGGGAGCGCTGGGCGCGGCGTTGCCTCAGAGGGAGAAGCGGGCTCGGCGTGGAAGCTCCTTCCTGAACCTCCTCCGCGGGATGCGCCCCCCCCGGGTGTCTCCTCCGAGCCGCCGCGCCCCGGGCACCGTGGGTCTGCGCTACCCCGTGGGCCCCCAGCACCCCACCCTGCGCCCGACCTGGCTCGCCCCCTGCAGTTGCGACCCCAGACCCCAAGAGGCACTGGTGACTGGAAGCACGTGGGGCAGCGGAGGACAAGACCTCCCCAGGGGCCCCGGGAAGCAGGAGCAGGGAGAGCCCGGCGGGCCCGCCCGCGTGGGGCGCCCAGAGGCCCCTCGACCCGCCGCCCCCAGCCGGGAAGGCAGGAGTCCTCCCGGAGCCGGGCTGTCTGGAAAAGCAGCCCACAGCGGTGGGAGACGCACGGAAGGGGAACCCAGATTGGAGACCAACAGGCAGGGAGCACGAGGAAAAGGGCCGGACGGAGAGCGTCCAGAGGGTGAGAAGCCCTTACAAGGTCCCGGGTGGGGTCGGAGGACGCAACTGGGAACCGAAAGTGTCTGCTCTGATACCTTGTCACTAAGGCCAGGCCACTCGGGGTCTCTAGGGCCCCCCGAGGATGTTCAGGGAGAACTCTCCCCTCCAGCCCGTCAGGATTCTAATGTTTCCCGCCTGTGAGGCCTCTGCAACTTCCCACCCTCCCGCAGTCCCCCAGCTGCCTGCCTGGCCTTGTCAAGTCTCCTGCACACGCTGTTTGGTTTTCCACCAACCACCACGGGAACCGATTGGAATTTTGCTGCTCGTCCTCTGGGCACATCCCACTTCCATGGTGGGAGAATTTACAATGTGGAAATTAGCAAACACTACAAGGCAGGGCTAGATTTACCGTATTACTGAATGCCTGGACTTAAGTGATGGAAATTATGGTAATAATGCAGACGAAACTTAAATCTGTCTATAATGTTTCTGGCCATGACATTATGTGTGACACAAAAAGTTTGAGGAAAAACAATGAGGAAATATCCTTCCAGTATTTAGAAACGACTCCATACAGAAAAATGTTGCTCACACCATTTAACAAACAGTAAAACTCCAATATTTGTGTTGTTGTTTCAGTGTCATACTTGAAAATCAAGAGGGAAACAGCCATGACTCATATGAGAGAAAATAGGCAAATGAGATGAACAGAAATTGTACAAAAAATAAACTGGCAAATAGACATGAAAAAATGCTCAAAGTCATGAATTCTTTGGGGAATGCAATTAAAACGACACTGAGATACCACCACCCATTTATCAAAAGGCTAAAATTGAAGAATGACCATATCAAGTATTGGCAGGGATTTGGAGGAAATGGAACTTTCACACACTCCTGCTGGGAGTGCAAAACAGAGCAATCATGTTCGATCACGGGTTGGCAGTTTCTTCAGGAGTTGAACATTCATCTACCCTGTGACTCAGGCATTGCACTCTATGTTATTGACAAAAGATAAAAGAAATACAATCATATAAAGAACTGACACAAGTCTTTTTAACAGCTTTATTTTCCATAGTCGAGATACAGAAATAACCGAAAAGCCCATAAACAGATGAATGGATAAACTCACAGTAGTATATCCAATTATAAGAATATTACTCAGCAAAAGATGAGCTACTCATATAATATCAGTGGTGAATCTCAAATTAGTTATGAAACATAAAGGAAATCAGAAAAAAACAGAGAAAACAAGTTTGATTCCAATCATATAAATTCAAGGAAATGCAAAGATATCTGATTGTAGGGAAAGGAAATGAATGGTTAGCTGGAGAGGTGGGAAGGGCAAAGAGATGTGATAGCACGTGAGGTAAATATACTGAGACAGGTAAGGTCACTCTCAGAACAGTGATGATGGTTTCAGAGGTTCATACCTATGTCAAAACTTATCAAATTGTACACTTTGAACACATGCAGTTTAGTACATGTAAATTATACCATAATAAATCCTTAAAAGTTGGCTCCAGAGAAAAAAAAATCTATATGTCCCACTCTTTTTTGGAAAATAAGTTTACTACTACCCTGCATTGCAGTGGTCTAACAGTTAAGATTCAGAGCTCTCACTGCCAGGCTGTCAGGGAACCCCACAACCCATCTGTTGGTTGTCATACTATGGTGGCTGCGTGTTGCTGTGACACTGAAAGCTATGCCACCAGTGTTTCAAATGCCAGCAGGGCACCCATAGTGGACAGGTGTCAGCAGAGCTTCCAGACAAAGACAGACTGGGAAGAAGGACCTGGCTACCCACTTCTGAAAAAAGCGTCCACGAAAACCCTATGAATAGCAGGAGTCCTGTCTTGTTATATTGTCGAAACGTGAGAGGATGGGCAAAAACACAAAGCTCGGTTCTGCTCTGCTGTACACAGGGTTTCCAAGAGTCAGAGTCGACTCGATGGTGGGCACTAGCAACACTATACTGACTCCACCAACTCTCTCCTCATGTCCTCTGGGAGTCAGTCTTCCTTCAGTGGCAGCATATACAAGAAGCAACGAAGGACACTGGCACCTGAGTCAACACGAACACTGCCCGGGTCACAAGACCCACATCGCTCAACTACAAATCCCCTTTTTCTTTTTTCCCTACCTGTGCAAGAATGGTCTTAAGGTGAACATCACTGAGAGGCTACAGAAATCCACAAAACCTTTCAATTATTTTTATTATATTCTCTGACAGGGACTTCAGCTACACAAGATAAACATGCCTAGAGGTCCTGAGATTTGTGTACAAACTGATCCTACACAGTCACTGTCCCAGAAGCATTTTCTGGATGCACTTTTAGAAGAGGCACATTCCACCTAGTTGGCTGCAGTCTCCTCCATTCCCTGTTAAGCCAGTGTTTCTGTACCAATTATGGTTTCCCCTGGACCCAACGGTCTTACAACCAGTGACCCTCACCCAAAGAACTGTGGACATCAGGGCACATGGCTCTTTGTAGATCTGGGGAAGATATCCCCTCCACAGTGCTGGTGTCCGCTTTGAGATCTCCTGTGAGGAAGACAGAAAATTCATGCTGCTCTCAGGTGAGGTGAAGTGGCTTTGGCCACAGAAACCAGGAATGACATAAATCTAGAAAGAGCCTTGGACAGGTCAGAAAGGGTAATATATTTACACAAGATTCCTGCACACCTGAAACCTATAGGAAATCTCCCCACTGTGCATGTTCAGATGTATGAGAATCAATTCAGACAGATGGCTCCTCAGATTTTCCACTGGTGTCGTTCCACTGAACAGGAAATTGCACATTCCTTGCTCAATTAAGGCCTTTCCCCAGCATGAACTCTCCAATGTTGAGAGAGCTTAGATTTTCGCATAAAAAACTTCCCACATTCACTGCACTCATAAGGCCTTTCTCCTGTGTGAACTCTCTGATGATAACGGAGGCCGGAACTAGAAGTAAAAGATTTCCCACACTCACTGCACTCATAAGGCCTTTCTCCTGAGTGAACTCTCTGATGATAACGGAGGCCGGAACTAGAAGTAAAAGATTTCCCACATTCACTGCACACATAAGGCCTTTCTCCTGTGTGAACTCTCTGATGATAACGGAGTTTGGAGCTAGAGATAAACGATTTCCCACATTCATTGCACTCATAAGGCCTTTCTCCTGAGTGAACTCTCTGATGATAACCAAGGCTAGAGACAGAAGTAAAAGATTTTCCACATTCACCACACTCATAAGACCTTTCTCTATTATGAATTTTCTGGTGTATCGAGAGGGAAGATTTTTGGCTAAAGGATTTCCCACATTCATGACACTCATAAGGCCTTTCTCCAGTGTGAGCTCTGTGATGTTTACTCAATTGTGATCTATCCATAAAGGATTTCCCACATTCACTGCACTTATAAGGTCCTTCTCCAGTGTGCACTCTGTGATGATAACGGAGGCCTGAGCTAAAGGTAAAAGATTTCCCACATTCAGTGCACACAAAAGGCCTTTCTCCTGTGTGAAGTCTCTGATGACAACGGAGACCAGAAGTAGAAGTAAAACATTTCCCACATTCGCTGCATTTGTAAGGTGTTTTTCCTGCGTGAGCTCTCTGATGATAACAGAGGGTAGAGCTACGGGTAAAAGATTTCCCACATTCACTGCACACAAAGGGCCTTTCTCCTGCGTGAACTCCCTGATGATAACGGAGGCCGGAACTAGAAGTAAAAGATTTCCCACATTCACTGCATTTGTAAGGCGTTTTTCCTGCATGAGCTCTCTGATGATAATAGAGGGTAGAGCGACGGGTAAAAGATTTCCCACATTCACTGCACACATAAGGCTTTTCTCCTGTATGAATTCTTCGGTGTTGAATGAGTGTCCAGCTCTTGTTAAAAGATTTGGCACAATCACTACAGTTGTAAGGCCTTTTTCCTTTGTGAAGTCTCTGGTGTAAAATGAGGTTATTTCTTCGGATAAAAGACTTCCCACATTCACTACACTCATAACGTCTTTCTCCAGTATGCACTCTGCAATGATAACGGAGACTTGAGCTAAAGGTAAAAGATTTCCCACATTCACTGCACACATAGGGCCTTTCTCCTGTGTGAACTCTCTGATGAGAACGGAGGGCAGAGCTAGTGGTAAAAGATTTCCCACATTCACTGCACGGGTAAGGCCTTTCTCCTGTGTGAACTCTCTGATGATACTGGAGGGTGGAGCTAAAGGTAAAAGATCTCCCACATTTACTGCACACATAAGGCTTTTCTCCTGAGTGAACTCTTAGGTGTGTAATGAAGTGATTTCTTCGGATAAAGGACTTCCCACATTCATTACACTCAAAAGGCCTTTCTCTAGTGTGAACTCTGTGATGATAATGGAGAGCAGTACGAGTGATAAAAGATTTCCCACATTCACTGCACTCGTGAGGCCTTTCTCCAGAATGAACTCTCTGATGATAACGAAGGACAGACTTAGAAATAAAAGATTTCCCACAATCACCACACTCATAAGGCCTATCTCCTGTGTGAGATCTCTGATGATAACTGAGAGCAGAGCAAGAGGTAAAGGATTTCGCACACTCACCACATTTATAAGGCCTCTCTCCACCTTGAAGTCTCCTGTGTTGAATGAACATTGAGCTATGGCTAAAAGATTCTGTACAATCACTGCACACATAGCTGTTTTCTCCATTGTGCTCCCTCTGGGGATGAACGAGGACAGACTGGTGGCTTAAGGATTTCCCACATTTGCTGCACTTGCGTGGCCCTGTCTCAGTATGAATTCCTTGATGTTGAAGGAGGGCTGAGCTTCGCATAAAAGATTTGCCACATTCTCCACATACATGAAGCCTTCTTTCAGGGTGGACTCTCTGGTGCACAACAAATGACGATTTATACCTGAACGTTCTCCCACATTCATGGCACACAAAACACTGTCTTCCAGTGTGGAAACCCTGGTCCTGAACAAGTGTGTCTTTGGGGCTGAAGGCTTTCTTGCATTCTCCCCAGGTGTGATGACTTTTTCTGCCTGGTAAAGGCGTCCTGCCCTGGGTGATTTTGTTTGGCTTCTCCACAGTATGAGTGGTCTGTTGCTGCTGATGTCCCAAGCTGGCCAGGGAGTCCTTCCCAAGCTCCCCCCAGGGAAAGGGCTTCTCTGACACGTGGAATCTGCAGCTCTTCACAAACCAGGCCCTGTCCACACTGCTTCTGAAGGGTTTCTCTCCTGTGTGCTGCTCCTGGTGCTGTTGAAACTTTGCAGTGAAATCAAATTGTTTTGCACAAGCCCCACACCTCAACAGTTTCAGGCCGTGCTGTGTTCCCTGCTGCTCAGCCAAGTGGAAAATGTCTCTCAAGACTGGACCACATGTCTCACAGGGGTGGGTCTTCTGGGAAGATGGAGCTGCCCTGGGAGCCCTGGCAGATGAAACATCTACAGAAACGCTCTGTTCAAAGGGAGTCTCCACACCCTCTGCTCCACAGCAGCAACCTAAACACAAAGAAACCCTGGTGAAGTACAAGTTAACTACAGGGATGGGGCAACCCCATCACAAGTGTGCATCTGTTTCATCTCACAATGAATCTATGGGATGCTTTTCAAGACAAGAGAGTTGGAAGCCAGCTGAAGGAGCAGCTGGCGGCTGTGCATTACTGGGCCCCTAAGGTGACAGAGTCGTGGAGACCTCACCAGGGGAAGGATACAAGACAGGGTGTGACATACAAGAAGCAGGGTCTACACCTTGTTCTCTGCCCACAGCTTCCTGCAGGATCTTTTCTGCTGCTGATGTGAGTTTCAATAGAAGTTGAGTCCAAGCCCATGAAAATCCAATCACAACAAATTAGCTGCTGCTCAAGGTCAATTTAAGGATATGTTCACACCTCACAGCCCAACATGTGAGTGCCAATGCTGAAGAGCACTGCACAAGGAGTGCTGAGAGAAAGGGGTCAGATTGGGAGTCCAGAGAAGTGAAGATAATCCCTGGGCTGGAAGTCACAGAGGAAATGACGATAGTAGAATTGACAACTTGCCAAACTGTCAATATGGAGAAGGAAAGGTAGAAATAGCTTGTGGTGACTGGCAATGGCACCAAATCTGGTTGAAAAGGACAGGCTCCTGCAGTGATGTGAACATGGGCCTGAGGCACACCATCCCCAGCTGTCAGTCACCAGAGCCAGGCCCCTTGAGCCCACCCCGCCATGGCTGGAGTCATGTCCACCTTGTGACACACAGAGAAGTGTTCCTCCTAAGCCTTAGTTGGGTAACTACATGGGACATGGAGGATAGAAGTCCTAAGGGAATCACAGGAGGTGGATGGCCTGCACTGTCCCAGAACAACCCAGCCCACAAAAGACCAAAGAAATGAGATCTAGGTGAGTCATCTCAGCAGGACGGTGGAGGAAACCAACCTGTGCCACCAACAAGAAACAATTAGACAGCTATCTATGAACAAAATTAGCCCTTGGAGGGCTCAAGAGCCCAGTTAAGATACGACAGCAACACAGCAGAACATAAAAAGGAGAATAACCATGC